CTGAACCACACGCTTGAGGTTGATTCAAAGAAATAATACAAAATAATACAATTAGTTTATTTTATTCCTAAGTTTACATAAATTACATACACTTTTTTTAAATAAATTTTTCATTTAACTCAAGAATATTAGACCTTCACAAACTTCACTATAATATTTATGAGAAACATAAGTAAGAGAAATCTCAAGAATAATATTTTCTAAAATATTACATTTTACTTAATAAATCAAATGTGAGAAACTAACTTTTATAACTCTAAATTTATGAAAAAGTAAAAAAAAAATTAATGTACCAAACTTCTTATATTTAACTTATGTTCATTAACTTTTAAAACATAATATTTTTTATTGTTCAATCTCAATGTTCCTTAATTGTGTATATTATATATATATATATATATATATATATAGTTTCTTTTATAAATATAAAATTTTGCATTATTTTTTTTCTAAAAGAAATTGTTATCATCCAAAATATTTTGTTAAGGAAACTTGTGACCTTTATTTTAGTGTTTTTGTACTGTTTACAAAATAAATTAACAGCACTATATGATTTTTTTTTAAATAAATAAATGATTGACTTTAGTCCACGTTAAAACAAATATTTATCCATCTTGAATAAATTTTTGAAACTTTGCTATTATAAACTTTTATGAAAATAAAATCGACCAACAACATTAAGATAACATTTACTGCTAAGGAACGAGATAAAAACTTCCATTACAAGAATATGGTGACACAAAGAATTTAGCAGCAAAATGGTAAAAAAAAAATAACAAAATCCAGGAAACAATTAGATCCGAGTGAAAATTAGAGGAAAATTAATATACCATAATTAAGTTAAGAAATACAATAATAATAAATCAATCATGAAGTATATGTCGGCCGACCATAATTAAGTTGTTTCAGTTTAACTATAAATTTCAAATTCAAGCCATACATACGTAATTGTTTTAAATAATTCTTTTTTAAAAGAAAACTTACTTTTAGAAAGGGGTATACGTACGCATGAAACCAATCTAATGAAATTATTCATGAAGTAAAACTATATACTATACATCCAATAAATTTTCTTTTAAAAATATAGATTAGGATAATGCACACTTTATCTAAGTATAGAACAACCATATTTATTTATTTTTTTAAAATTTTAGTGAGACTTCATATCGTTTATTTTATTTCAACATAAAAATTATAAAATATAAGAGAAATTGAATTTAATCTTAAATTCTAACTAGTAGAAATAAAGATATTTAACTATGTCATTTTCGTATGACATACAATTAATCAATGAAATTATAAAAGGATAAAGAAAAAATTAATGTTTGTATCTCAATTTTAATTTGGTTAAATTGTTTGTTGTTAATTAAAATTTCATTCATAAAATTAAAAAAATGATAATATTAATTTTACATGAAAATAAATTAATTCTTTATTTGACCTTTGTGACACATTTATATCGAGAGAGTGAGACTGTTTTAATGGATTTGTTTTTTTTATTTATTACAAAGTAATATATTGTATTAAAAAATAATGTATTTTTTTTATAATAAATTTGTATTAAAAGTGGCATATTATTATTGCTTTTAATTTATGCATAAAATTTTAAATCGTAGTCATTTTTAGAAAAATAAAAATATTAAATAATAATACACGTACAACAATTCATAATTCATATATAATAACAAATTGTAAAATGTAATAAATGATGTAATGAAGAAGGATGGATGCAAATATGTAAAATCTTATATTATTAATAAAGGTGATATATTTTTTTATGTATATATTCATTTGAGTATTTTACTCTTAACTTCCAAAGCTCTGTATTCTCTATACTTTTTATTTATTTATTTTATTTATTTTTACTACAACAATATATTTTTAGCAATATTAGAAAAATATTACTAAATTATGAGTAAATATCACTAATATATTCTTGGTACATTTATCAAAAGGTAAGATAAAGCCTATCTTATTAAAGACTTTTATATATATTAATAATTATATTTTTAAAAATGCTAGCAAAATGATATTTTGTAATATTTTAATAATATTACTAAGTTTTTGTGAACTTTCTAAAATGATAATTAGTATTAATATAAATTATACTTTATATCTCTTGTCTACAATTCCTTCAAAGTTAAAAATATCTTAAGTTTTTGTTTCTTTGACAAGAGAATATGACCCTAAGCCGTTTTTTTTTGTCATAGAAAGATATTTTAAGTTAGTTATCACTAAATTTAAATTATATATCAAAATTTATTTATCTTAAACTTCACTTTATGGTTATATATATTCTTTATGTATCATTATTTTACTTAAGAAGAGAATTTAATTTTGAAAAATAATTAGAGATTAGAGAATTATACTCTTTATATGTCTTTTTTACTCAATATGAAACTTAATTTTGGAAAACAATTAGAAAGATCTACATTCAAATAAAAAATGTTACTCTATCTATACTAACATTTTCTAAAGAAAAAAAATGTAATAATTTATTAACTTAATTTATAGTAAAATTTTAATAAATGTAAGTAGACAAATATTGTTAAAGATGTTAAACATAGTAGTGTTTTTTGTAAAATTATTTTTCAAACTTCTCTCACATTCTAAAAAATTACTCAAAGTCACTCACACTCTCTAATTTTTAACCACTCATATTAACTTATCGTTTATTTTATTTTTACTTTTAAAACAAAATACATTGAAACAAAAAATATTTATTTTATGCTAGTATTGATAAAGACAATAATATTTTCATGTTCATAATTTTTTGGACTATTTTGTGTAACAACTTGACAAATCACAACACTTAACAACACAACAACGCGAAAAAAACATTTAATTAGCTCACCTAGAGTTCTTAAGCAAACAAATGTTGGATAATTATGCATCATTGTGTGCGTGTATGTAAAATATAAAATCTCCTAACGGAGTTATAGTCTTCTTGAATACATATATACAAAGTATATCAATATCAACAATTATATATGACTGAAAACAAAAGTCCTAGGTTAAAATTATATTTCAAGAGATTAATTTCTTTATTTATTTGGTGAGAAAATTAGGATGTTAAAAACATAAAAAAAAACTGAATTTGAAAAATTAACAAAATTTGAATATAAGGACTAAAATATTTTTTTTTTAAATTACAGGTACTAAAAATATCAACTTTAAATTTAAAGAACCAAAAACAAATTTATCCTAAATTTGAAGGACTAAAAACATATTTAAGTATATATATATATATATAGGAGGATTATAATAACACTGGTGTAACTTTTACTAAGTATATATTATATCGCTAAATAACTTTATAAATCCAACTAGAAGTTAAAAACGTGTATCTATTTTTGCTAAAATGGGTTTGAATTGAAGTAAGTTGGGTTGATCGATTTAATCTGCTACAATAAAAAAAAATATATGTTTATGCTTTATGCATTTGACATTTGAAATTTTGATTAATATTTTTCTTTGTATTTGTATTTGAAATAATGATTGACTTGATTTATTGATAAAAAAAACTGTAACTATTTTATTTATTAAAAATATAAACATGTAATTACTTTTTGTTAATTTTTAATTTAAAAAAAATGTAGTGAACCAACCCACCTAACCTACCAAATCGTGGTAGGTCCAATTGGTGTTAAATTTTTTTGGCTTACCAAAAAGTGAGTTGGGTAAGATTAATCTATTTAAAACACTATCTTGTAGTGAACCAACTCGAGTGAGTCGAATTGTCTCACGTTGACACTTCTAAACACAACTATTGTCATATTATTAGGTTTGTTATGTGACAACAACAAAGATGAGGGCGTTAGTTGTAGCGATAAAAACCACCATCGCCACCACAACTATCACCACTACTTTTAATGCTCTCATTGTCAACATTCTTACTATCGCCACAACCACCATCCCTATATCGTCATCTTCATGTTATAGTGGCAAGGGGATAATGACAACCACCACCTTATCATTATTGCTATAAATCACCATCACTAACACTATTGTTTGCGCTTTCATTGTTGTCACAACTATTGTTCCCATAGTCTTTGTCACCATATGGCAATAGTAACAATGGAAGCTTAATTTGACAATTATGAGAGTAATAAGAACCATAGTGACAATGGTGATAATAATGATAATTGTTTTACAATGGTAATGACAAAAATGATAGTGGTGGTGACAATTGTTGTCACCACTACCACCATTATTATTATCTCTCTTATCATTATTGTTGCCTTTACGATTGTAAGAGTGAAAGCGGTGATAATAGTGATGACAATCATATGAAGGTAACTAAGAGGTCAGAGTTATTATTTGAAAATATAACTTAAAATTAAAATTAAATCTAAGCTATTAATTTTAATAAAAAAACTATCACTTAATTCTCTCATCCCTCATAACAAGTGTCTCTCGTAAATTAATTAAATAGTTACCTCATATTACTAGTGCCCCTAGATTTGATTTCTATTTGTGTAAAAATAATATTTGATAAGTAAAAATCATGTTCTATGATACAAATTAATTCTTAATTATCAACTTTGAAATACTATGTTATTATATTTATGGACTAAATTAATTAGCTTATTCAAAAAAATTATTTTTAAATTATAAATAGATTAATGTTAATTTATTTAAAAATACATTTTTAATTTATTATGTTGTCTTAAAATACTTATGGAAAATTTGTCTAAAATTATCTAATTATTCAAATCACTTATGTGGCAATGAAACGAATGAAAAATTAATTGAACGTCTAGTATGGGTACCTTCAACAGTAAACTGCCCATAACGGTGTTCTACGGAAATATACGTATTGAAATTTTTATTTCTTTTGTGAAAATGTCATTAGATTCCTCCATGCATACTTTTCATGGATTAAATCCTTTTTATCAAATCGAAAGATGAATTAAAGTGACACAGTGTTGTTTGATAAATTATTAAGATTTTATTTATTTTCTTGCCACTTTCCTTCCTTTACTTCTTTCCCCATGTCTGATACCGAAATCTCTTTCACACACACACACACTCTCTCTCTCTCCACCGTCCACTTCCTTCAGCAATCTTGTACTCTCTCCATCTCTCTATAAAAGCAAAGGCAACTAGCCATAAACTGTTCCCACACAACCTTACCTTTTTCACCCATGGCTGACCCCTACTCCAATTTCTTCTCTTCCTCTCCCTTCTTCCGTTTCAACCACCACCATTTCCCATCTTCAACTAGCCCTTCTCCCCAACACCACAACTTCATCAAAACCAACGACACCGCAACCTTTTTCCACTACCACCACGCCGCAACAACTTTTTCTTCTCTGCCACCTTCTTCCCCTCCTCTCAGAGAAGAACTACCCCTCCTGCGGCTGAGCCCGCCGAAGCAAGAGGAGGAGGAGGACGACCCCTCTTGCACCGGAGCCATGGAAGTGGAGGAGGGGATCCACAATATCCACCCCAAGGAGGAGGAAGAAGATGATGAAGATGGTACTGTCACTGTTGCACTCCACATAGGCTTGCCAAGCCCTAGTGCTGCTGAGATGGCTTCTGTCCTCTCTTCTTCCTCCGAAATCACTGACAAAGAACATGGTGATGGTGCTCATGCTCAGGATTCTTCTGCACCCTTCAGACTCAACAAGGGCCAGTACTGGATCCCTACCCCTTCTCAGATTCTCATTGGTCCTACTCAGTTCTCTTGCCCTGTTTGTTGCAAAACTTTCAACAGATACAACAACATGCAGGTATATATATCAATGAGTATCACACAAAGATCACATTTAAATTGCAGAAAGATGTTCGCGTAGCGGACATATCAGAAACTTTGGTGTTGCAGCTTAAATTTTGCGGACTGTGTTTTAAAATCCTATCACACACCACAACCTTCACTAATTCTTCTAAGTTGTATCCCTTTCTTGTTCTAGACTCTAGTGTTTTTTTTTTTTTTTTTTAATAAGCTCTTCTTCAACTATTTCCTTAATTTCTAATTCAAGGTCCGGAAAAAAAAAAAAGGATTGTTTCCTTTGCTTCCGCGTCTCCTTTCTGTCTATAACTTTCTTTCCTGATTTGATCCGCTAACGGTTCTTTGATGCTTCAATGGAAAGAGGAAAAGCTTGGCTAGTAATCTATGCTATACTTCTGGTTTTTCCTTTCCTTTTCTTTTCTTTTTTATTTATAATTTATTTTACCTTCTTTTTTCCCATAGTTATAAATAATAATATCCTTCTCCTCCAGTTATAATTTTATTTGATTTTTTAAGTGTTTAATTTGGGGTTGTTTTTTGCATGGTGTTGATGTAATTTGGTTAAATAATATTATGAACGATTGGTTTCCTGATTCAGACTGAGACTGAGATCGGTACCTTACCAGTTACCACCTTTCCTTTTCGTTGATTAAACAACTCAAGCTATGTTCCTTATGCCTTCGGTACATTGAAGTCTGTGCTTCTTATATACTTTGGTAGAACTGAAAATCTTGCAGAGTTTCTTCCAGATCGCTCAGATAATTACACCAATTTTTGTTTCTCTTTGTGGTCCTTTGGTTCTAAAAGCCCCATCATGGGACATAGCTAGCCTACTTCAACTCCCCTCTTTCCCTTCTTTCCCTTTTTTGTTTGTCCTCCTAGCTTATTTTTCCATTGCAAACAAAACTATGAAAGAACAACAACTCACCTAAATTTTATTAAATTTGCTCTTTACGAAGATAGCCTTTTTGTTCCTTAGAAGCCACTGCTATCAAAGTGTACATATATATCATCTCCAATATTCTTCATCATGATTCACAAACGTATTCTTCAATCTTCAATTTAAAAAAAAAATCCCATTCTCCAAATTAAAAGCTTGGAACCTTCGTGGTTATTGTATCTTAATATTATGCTGCAAATTCGGTATATATGATACAAATGGTTGATTCTTTTTTCAAGCTTGTGTATAATAGGTTAATTTGTTTGCTTTATCAGTAACCCTTTTCTTTGGGATGTTCATAATTTTATTTTATTTATTTTGTTTGGGATGAGGGGGTGTTCAGATGCATATGTGGGGGCATGGATCACAGTACAGAAAAGGACCTGAGTCTCTGAGGGGTACCCAACCAACGGGCATGCTGAGGCTTCCTTGCTATTGTTGTGCCCCAGGGTGCAGAAACAACATTGACCACCCAAGAGCAAAGCCTCTCAAAGACTTTAGAACACTTCAAACGCATTACAAGAGGAAGCATGGGATCAAGCCCTTCATGTGCAGGAAATGTGGCAAGGCTTTTGCTGTGAGAGGAGATTGGAGAACTCATGAGAAGAACTGTGGCAAGCTTTGGTACTGCATCTGCGGCTCCGATTTCAAGCACAAGAGGTCTCTTAAAGACCACATTAAAGCTTTTGGAAGTGGCCATGCAGCTTATGGGATCGATGGATTCGAAGAGGAAGATGAGCCAGCATCTGAAGTAGAGCAAGATAATGATTCCACCCAGTAACTAATGAATGAGACTGCATGGGTTTATATATGTGAATTATCCTAGTTATTTTGTGAAATGATTGGGGATGAATATATATAAAGCCTTGGCTTCCTATTTCAGAACTATATATAAGCACCAAGTTTAAATGGAAAGACAGTTTTCTCTCTTTTTTTTTTTTTTTCTTCTATTGCAATGTTAGCTAGGAGAGACTAATGGATACAAAACACAGCTGCAAGCTAGAGATTTATATATATGTCCAACTTCTTTAAATTTGTTAGCGTGTATAAGATATCTTTCCCTTCTCTTGTTAAGATGCTTAAGACATTAATTGAAGATGAATTAATTAGTATTATTCTGAATTGATTTCTACTTTAGCTAAAGCATTAAGCTAATTGATTAGTGCCTAATGATATAAAGTAGCGCCTCTAGCTCTATTTAAATTAATTTATTTCATATTTTTCTTTATACAGTGTGGGTTCAGTTTGCCGAGCTATCAACAGCGAGGGGCACTAATATTTACGTGTATTTTATCAGATATGTAATCATGCGTCAAATTTATAGGGTAGTATTGCATATATTGTATTATTCTGTAGGTATACAAGGTGCACTATTGTACTGTATATTTTCTTTTTAACAATTTATTATGCATCTACGGATTTACATTGTGATGTATTATCACTATTTTTGTCTTAATATTACAATTTTTGAAATCTCTAAAATCATATCATCACACGCATAATTGTGGCTGCATTGGTAACACCTACTTGAATTTTTTTTTTTCGTCTGCAGTTTAAATGATCACAAGCCAACCATGACCATAGCCGTAATCTATTAGAAAAGCGGTCAAGATGAAGAAAAGCCTTTCAATCTTTTTTCCCTTTCTCTCTCTCGAATACAGAACTATATATACTTAAGTCTCTTCAAACTTTAGGGGACATGATGCATGTGCATGAACAAAATATACCAGTGGGGCATTAAATGGATATTTTGGCATCGATAACTTGTTTTCTTCACTCAGGTTTGTCTTGGTACGTATTCACCAATATAATTACTCCACAATTTGTGTGCGGGAAAGACAGATAAAGTGAAGGTAGCTTATTTAAAGGGGGAGTGAGGGTTTAGCCTCTACTTGCCCCAAGGAAGAATATTATGGCTAATTAGGAGATTAAGATAGGCTTTTTCACATGCTGTGAAACTGAAATACATACATATACGTCAGCTTTTTGTTGGGGTGGTGCATATGATGCCCTTTTGCTTTGGGTAGTGGTGTTTGTTGATAGATGGAACATATACCATTTGAGATTCAGCCTTGGTTGCTTGGAAAATTGAAAGCAAATGATTAGCTTTTGAAGAGAAATACATATTTTAAAGGAGGAAATGAAAAGATATATAGGTAGGATGGGTGATATCATAATGGTCCCAGTGTGAAGTTTGCAAGGTATGAGGGTACTGCAAATGCAATGAAGTGGATCTCATTTGCAGCTTTGGTTAGAGAGAGAGAGAATTGGTTGGGGTGATTGGCAACATATACTGATGCCCCCTACAGTGCAAACACACACACACCTCTCTTCCATCTGATGGATAAACTGTAGACTGAAACGACCTTTCAGCAATTTTTGACCTGCTCTACTTGAGGTGCAGTCTTCAATCCATATGCTATGCTATGCTTTGGTACGTACAAATTTATAAGTGATGTACAATTGGCAGACAACAATGGGAAGAAAACGAAGCGAAAAAGATATGAAACATCTTTGCATGGTTGCCACTTAAATCTACCTACCATCTTCTCACCACCAATGCCCTTAATTTCGTTGGATTCGGATCCTCCTCTGTGCTTCACAAACAGGACACATGATTATAGTAAAGAGAAATAAATACTGCGACTTAGTAAGGGAAGAAAAATATAATTATTAGGTCGAAGTCGTAGGGTTAAATAATTAAGATGGTATTTCTAATTAAGTGAATGTGTGAAAAGAATATTTATTGGAAAAAGTTTGTTTCTTAATTAATTTTCTGTATTTATAAGGATTATCTCTTAACTGAAAATAAAAGCTATTTATTACTATCCCAATCAACTTTTATATGTAAGGTATTTTCATTTTTAATTATACGAAAATTAAATCTTTTGGAAAAAAATATGATTTGTTCCTTAGGTATAGGACAATGTCTTGATCAAAATATATATTTTGGTTTTTGTAAATAAAATCTGTAACAATTATTGAGATGATCAATGATGATTTTCATACGAGAAAAATTGCAATTGTGCTAATTAGTGTTGTCTAATTAAGTTCATTTTTTTTATTGCAATTATAAGTTAATGTATATATTAGACTGGACAATTGAAAGAATATATTTTCTTGGTATATTGAAAGAATAACTTTCCAAAACTAACCTACTGTGCTGTTACCAATTCTTTGGTAAGAAATGGTGGCATTAGATGTACTGAACAGCAAACTGTAATTAAAGCATTTATTGACCATCAATATCCCACCCTTTTGTTGTGGAGACCAACCCTACCACTATATTGACCTCATGAGACTCTCCTAGCACCATCAGATGATCCCTCTCTCTCCCTCTCTCTCTAGAGTGTGGTGTGTGTCTCTCACCATCATCTTTTGTGTGGCATTTGTGCTTTTATGGGAAGTCCCTATCCTAAAGCCACCCATACCCCCAATATGCCCTGCAGTGTGATTACGAAACAAGGTCACAAACGAGCGATCGACAATAATCATGACCTCAATTTATTTTTCAAAAGAACGTACGTAGAATAAATAAAATGATAACACTAAAAAAGTACTGCAATCGATAATAAGTACGTAACGTATGTATAAATCCATGCATGTACATGCATCATATTTAATATTTTAGATAAAAGCAATCAACAACTATTAGACTTTATGTTATTGCAATTCCAATAACTACTAGAAAAATATCATTTTCTTGTAAATTTTCTTGCAAAAAAATATTCGTAGAAATATTTTACGAATTTTCTTGTAAAAAATATTTGTAAATTTTTTTTGCAAATTTTCCTGCAAAAAAATATTCACAGAAATTTTTTGCAAAAAATAATTTACATATATTTCTTACAAATTTTGCTACAATTTTAATAATCATAGACATTTTTTTTCCATGCTAAAAATTTACAAAAAATATTGTAAGAATTTTATTTTGTTTCTTGCAGATTTTCTTGCAAAAATAAATTCGCAAGTAATGTTTCTTAAATGGTAGAAAAATTTTGCAAGTAACTTTTCCTGCGGATTTTCCTGCAAATTTTAATCTGCAGGAAAAATAAAAAAAAAATTTAAATTTATAAGTTTAATATTTTAAAAAACTTCAAGTCCCACATCAATTGAAAATAAAGCAATTATAGAGTATATAAGTTGAGGTAACACTTACCTTACAAGTTGATTTGTATGGTTGAGTGATAGACATATAATCTACAATCTTAGAATTTAAAAGATTATGTATCACATATTGGAGGCATGGAAACAAATGTTTCAGATGAATTCATTGTGAGCATTTGAAAGTTGAAAAATTATTAATAGAATTTATAGTAATTTCTTTAATTTTTTTCGTAAAAAATATTTCTGCAAAATTTCTTGCGAAAAAATTCGCAGGAAACTTTCCTGCGAATTTTTTTTGCAAGAAATTTCGCAGAAAAATTTCCTGCAAATTTTAAAATTCGCAAAAATATATTATCCACGAAGGTATTACTTGCAGATAAAATTTCGCAGAAAAATTTGCAAGAACGCTTCCTGCGAATTTTTATGAAAAATTCGCAGGAAAAATCGCATGTAATAAGAGAAATTCTAGTAGTGAATATATCCATATATATATATATATAATTAATTAAATATATAGATATAATCAATGTTTTAAAAATCGGATCGGACCGGCCGGTCGGACCAGTTGAACCGAGAACCGGTGATCCGACCAGTTTGAATCTTAAGTTGGATCGGTTATGCATTTGACCCGTTTCAAACCGGATTGAACCGGTCAATTTTTCGGTTCGACCAGTGAACCGATGGGTCAAACCGGTTCAACCACAAATTTTTATTTTTATGTTTTTTTAAGAGACCACAAACCACAAAAATAACAATAAGAATTGAATCTATTAATAGAAGAGCAAAAAGTCTTATTAAACATAAGAATGAATACTTGTTCTAATGTATTTGTTTGTAATACATAATGCAACTTAAATAACTTTTATAGTATATTATTAATTTTAAATTATATATTTAATAATATATATATATATATATATATATATATATATTACATATATTATTTTGTGATATCAATTGCAAGCATATTATATATGTACATATTATTTATATTTTTAATTAGTATTAATATATAATTTAACATGTAATTTTTTATGTATTTCTTTATACAAAATAAAAATAAAGATAATTTTAAATAAGATAAAAATTGAAATTTAAAATAGAATATGAATTTATTGAAATTTATAAGTATAAAATATATTTAACATGAATATTTTTTATTAAAAATTAATAAAAATCGAATCATGCAGTTCAATTAATGACTCATCAATTCAACCTTTGACCTACTGACCCTGTACCCTAATTGGTTTGATGAACATTCTGATTTTTAAAACTCTGGATATAATTATGTTCAAATCAAATAAAACTGATTATCATATTCGTATTGGGATGATAAAACTCTTCTTCTACATATTTATAATATATATAACTAAATATTTTAGACTAAAACTCAAAATCACTGGTTAAAATGTAAAAGTTGATCCACATGTAACTCATATTTTGAAATCACTACAAGGAAAATGAGCAGTACATACATCTATTTTGTTCTTACACATAATAATTGTAAATAAAACTAAAAAAATATTTCTACTTATAAATATTAGTGTAGGTAAAACTCAAATGTTTATATTTATAATCTTTTATTGTAGGTATAAAAGCTACAAAAATGTTGTTTTACAACTCATATAATGGATGGACAATTCATTTGAGTCAATCTAAAACATATATTTACCCATAAATTTTCAATTTTTAGTGATTGTTTTTATCTATTATTATAAATTAATTTTTTTAGTGATTATTTTACATCTATTTGTGGTATATACAGCTTGTTGGATAATATATATATATATATATATATATATATATATATATATATAAGAGAGAAAGAATAAAAGAGAGGTAATGAAAATGATGAGTAATGTGATAAACTGATGATAGGAAAGATAAAAAGGGGCCAAAGAATAACAAGAATGAAAAAGAATGTGAGAAATAGTAATTAATCACTTCTCTTCTACCAATAAAATATTAAAATTAGTAATTAATAATTGATTTAATGTGAACAGTGTTGGGAGCTA